CCAATAAGACAACTGATCTTAACGTTGAGGAATTTGAAGCAGGAAAATAGTGTGTGTTCAGTGAGAAACTGGGGGGGAAAACAGTATGTGCATTGTCCATCGAGGTTCTGTGCTTGACTTGGGTTTCGTATGGTCGGTGGCTTTCCAATTTTCTTTAGTGCGAGGGTGTGAGGTTTTTTTTTTTTTTTTTTTTTTTTTTTCTTGGTTTTAGTTGTTGCTGTTTTTTTATGGATTCTGTTGGGTGTGAAGATGTGTCAATTTTCGTGTTGTTTTGTTTTCTAGGTAAGAAGGTCAGGGTGTTGCGGTGTGGTCTCGGTGGTGCTCAAAGTTGTTTGAGCGATGATGACTTCGTTTCACCACCGTTGGCTTTCTTGGCGAGGTTGCAACAAGACCCGGTATGGAAGGCCGTTGATGATGCCCGTGCGGATGGTTCATCTTCTGATGAGAGGTCTCGTGGTGCGGTGTCTTCTGAACACGAATCTGAATATCCTACTGTTAAGTTTCGGGCACAAACTAGTATTTTCGTTGATGCGCTTGTGGACCTGTTAATGCGACAGAAGGAAGCTATTAGGAGTTTGGGATTTGGGGCTTTGTTGAATTTCAAGGTGGCTGAGTGCCCTCCCCGTTGCACGGTTATGTGTTTCTTATGTAACTCACACGGCACATAAATAGTGTTTAAGTTATGCTTAAGTGTTTTTTTAGGTTCACACGGTTTGATGTGCTTGTTTTTGTGGTGTTTATTTGTGAGCGTTGTAGGTTCGTTTACTTTGGATTGGAGCATGTGTGCGCCACTGTTTAATATTGCGTGCGTGGTTGGTGAACTAGTGTTTTCTTTCAAACATGTGTGCGAATTCATATGTCCCCATGTGCGTAGGGGTGTTTTTTTTTTTTTTTTTTTTAAAAACCAATGTTGGCATCAAACATGTGTGCGCAGTGATATGTCCCCATGTGCGTAGGGGTGTGTTTTGTTCTATTATAGATAACCAGTTGGTAGTAATTGTTCGTCTGAGAGTTCCACCTGCGCTCACATGTATGTCGTGGTGTGTGCGCACTGGATAAAGAGCTTCATTCGGTCATTTGTAACTAATAAAAAGCTTGATTTAATTAAATACTCAAATACAGTTCGTAATTGAAAACTACAAACCATTGTTCATTTTTTTTATTACCTTTTTCTAAACTTCGGTAACCAACATAGTTTATGGGTGGGTAAAATATGTGCGCATTCATATTTCTCCGTGTGTTTAGGTTTTTGTATTTTGGTCTTTTCTCGAAAACCAAGTAGTGGTAGTTGTTGATCCGCTAGGTCTACCTGTGTGCACATATATGTCGTGGTGTGTGCGCACTGGATAAAAAGGCTCTTTCGGCCATCTATAACTAATAAATATTTTGCTTTATTATTGTTGGTCTACCTGCGCACACTATTTTTTCTAATAGCACGTACACACCAAAAAGATACCTTAGTCGCTTAGGCAATTTTTACTTTTAACGTGTGGGTTACGGTGTGCACGCTGCGACTCGCAGTCGTGCACACATCAAATCCGACTTCCGTAATGTATGCTTGGTAGAATTCAATCCCGGTTTCCACTTTTTCGAATCGTTGTCCTTCGTATGGTGTTTTCTCATTTTCTGTAGAAGGTTTCCAGTACTTCGTACCATCATTGGCTATTTCCATTGCACATTAAAACGATGTCGTTATTGGAATCCATGTTTCTTACAATTTCAAAAGCCCACCTTGATTTTTCTTGGAATTAAATAAAAGGCCCGTGGCCCATATAACACCTTACCCTTGTATGATATACACTTTCAACATTTAGCTTCTTACCCTAGCAGGACTAAACCTAAACATCTTCCCCTTCTCTCTTGCTCTCCACTCCTTATTCTCTTCATGAAACCTTAGGAGTTATACTTGGTAATGGTAATGCGTTTTGGTGAAAGTATTTAACATGTTTGGTAGTAGGGTGGAATGAGAATGGTTACTAATAGTAGTGCTTGAAAATGAATAAGGGAAAGAAACCCTTATTTTATTTGGGTATGGATTTTTTAATTGATGGGGTATTAGAAACCCATAGTAGTGTACTAAAAACCTGTCAATCAAACAATAACAATCACTTTCATATCCATTCCTATGAGCAAACCCATCAACCAAACACACCCATAATTTGGCTTCATAATGTATAGAATTTATATTCATAATATACAGAATTTATGTTCATAATACACATGCACATAAACACGATATAATGAATACACATAAACACTTAACATAATACACATAATTCATATCCATAATGTATAGAATTCATGTTAATAATGCACATAATTCATGTTCATTATATTATGTTTATGTTTATGTGTATGTGTATTATGAACATTGATAACTGTGTTTATGTCCATGATTTTACCCCATATATAAACCTATTTTGAGTGAAAGATATTTTGATTTTATGCAAAATGTGCCTTAATTCAATTGTTTATATCCTTAGGTGCATAAATATATAATTGTTGATTTGAAGACAATCGCATGCTTTTCGGGGCATTTTGAGTGAATCTCGAGTCAATGGAAGTCAAGGTGAAGCTAAGGAGGTGGCTAAAACGCTTCAAAGAGAGCCACAGAGTGGTACTTTCAATGGATTTTATCACAAGAACAAAACAAGGGAAAAATTGAGCAAAAGACCAAAGAGTTGTAATTCCCGCTAAATTTGGTGACACCTTAGTATTTTGATCATATATATCTCATTCTAGGAATGTCTGATTCAAGTGATTCTTCCGCCATTGGAAAGAAGACTCGAAGGGCTACAACCTGTGATGCAGAAGAAAACTCGACGCGTCGAAAAATTTCTGTACGCGACCTAAAGAATAAAGACAAAACTCGACGCGTCGAAAAATGCGTCCTGTGCGAATTTTGGGATGTCCAGAAGTTCTTATTTTGCCCCTACTTGGCTCTCGCTATAAAAGTCACATCTTCCCTCAACTCTAGGACTTTAAGCTGCGTTTTTTGAGACAAAAAGAGTGAGAGACATCAAGAGCTACAAGATTACCTTGGAAGAAGGAGAAAAAGTTAGGAAGATTCGGGAGAATCTCTTTTCCTTTTCTTTTACTTTCTTTGTTTCCTGGTATTGCTATGAATGTTATTCTAGCCATGAGTGGCTAAAACATCTTAGAGATTTTTGTGTGAAAATGTTTATGAACCTATGTGCCTAGTCCTTAATTTCGTTAATATATTTACATTTGGGATTCATGACTTGTGTTGCAATTGTAATTTATATTGTTGATACTAGTAATTAAAGGCCTAAATTACTCGTTTCATAGCTATCTTTATGTCTTAATGGGAGTTAGGGCATAATTAAGATCACCCACAACACCACTTGACTATTGCACATTGGGAGATGGTATATTTGTTAAGGATTTATCTTTAATGCTTGTTCTTGAATTGTTGAGTATTTATATAATGGGAATGAATATTCACTTGCATTATTTTAGGTTGGAACTATGGGAGTAATTCCTGCCCTTGTATGCATTCTCACACCTGTTTGAACCCAAATTATATTTTGCACCTTAGATTGACACTAGGTGATTAAGCACTTGAACCCTAGAAATCCCACTTTTACTCTATTGTTTTCATCAACTTGTTCGCTCGTTCTCTTTTAATTTGTTTACTTTTACAATCAATCAATCACCCTTTTTGCTAGGATTAGTTTCTGATGAATAGACTAGTAGCTAGTGTTTGATACGCCCCGCTTCCCTGTGGATCGATAACCCGATACTCCGGGTATTTATTTATTTGTCAAAATATATTGCAATCAAACATTTATTCTGTACATTATGAACATGCATTCTGTACATTATGAAGTCAAATTATGTGTATTGGACTAGGATCTACACTGCACTGTGGATCCTGTTCCACAATATAATGATTGGGAGAAGAGAGGGTGGGCCCCCTCCAAGCATGGGCCCTGGGCAAGGGCCCAACCTGCCCTTGCCCCAGAGCCGGCCCTGACCCAATCATTATTGTATGGATCATGGTCCACACAAGTTGTGTGAATCATATTTTGTGTAATGTAAAATAATGTACACTCATTACAAAAATAATGTACATTTAGTACAAAAATAATGTACATTGTATTCATGAGAGGTACATTATTTTTATACTAAGTGTACATTATATTGTATAATGTACATTCAATACAAAAATAATGTACATTTAATATATTAAAAATATACGTTTTATTATGGTCCACATAACACTTTGTAGACCATGATCCACACAATAATTTACCGCGTTACCCAACCCCTCCCCTTCCTCGATTAATAGGGTTGGTCCATGCTTCCGTCCATAGCTTATTCAAGCGTACTGTTTTGATTTTGTAACTTTTCTATTTGGATCAAACTTAACAGTTAACCTTTTTACAAAATTAATTATCTCAAGTAATAGTATTATTGTATTAGTATCTATCTTTGAAATAATATTGACTCTTATCTTTTCTTAAAAAAAAAAAAACATTAGGAAAACCACTAGCTTGTTTACATATATAGCAATGGTCAAGTCAGCTTCATCCACAGAGAATTTTGAAATAATATTGACTCTTATCTTTTCTTAAAAAAAAAAAAAAAAAAAAAAAAAAAAAACATTAGGAAAACCACTAGCTTGTTTACATATATAGCAATGGTCAAGTCAGCTTCATCCACAGAGAATTCTGCAAATGGGTCATTTCACATTTAGGGCACATAAAGAATGTGGGACAGCAGATAGGTATTAAGATGATGTGATCAGGTGGCTACTGCATACGCCACAAAACATCAAAAACTAATCTTTAATTTTTGGGATCTCAACAAAATAAATAAATAAATAAATAAAAAGGATCCTCAGCTCTTATCCAGAAAAGATTAGGTGAATCTCTAGCTTGGATTTCTTGTGCTATTTTGGCCCTTCACTTAGATATCTGTGGATAACAAGCCATCATCCCTCCCTCTCTGCTATATATATATATACTGTTGTAGTCAAAGAAAATATCTAAGCTAAGCAGCACTTTTCCCATTTGTTTGCATTCTTGAAAACTTCCCAGCAGCTAGCCCTGATCTCCTCCCATTTCTTTATCATATATTATCATTATTATATTATACTAATTCCCCTATTCTTCTATATATTATTCTCCCTTTTCTCTTTCCTTTTTGTTTTTGTCCATTTGTACCAAAACAAATAGATCAAATGTACCACTACCACCACCACCCTTTTCCTTGTTTGCATTGCCACCCTCATAGCTATATCAGAATGGTAAGTAGTAGCTAGCTTAGCTAGGTACTTTGATCTACATACACATATATGCACTAGTCTCTCTCCTAATTCTATCTATTTATCCTTTGATCTCATTTTGCTAGTATAGTTAGACTAAAATCATAAAAACTCAAATTCTAGCTAGCATGGAATTGAACGAACTTATTATCATGTACACAATTGGTTTTACAGGTTCAAAGTCTAATAGAGAGGTGTTTGCTCCTTCATATGGACCGAGAACAATGCATTAAAGCTCTCGCTAGGCACGCCAGAATCCGCCCACTCGTCACGCTCACCGGTACGGTACACAAATATGAAATATATATACACCCACACACTACGTACAACATATATATTTATATAGCTGCTCGCTAGAATTGTGTTTTACTGCAACATTATAGTATTTCCCATCATCTATACACATGCATACATAAAATCAAAGGTTATATTATGTAAAAGGATTTTGAAAACAAAAATGAAAACTTTTGTAGTGTGGAGGGAGCTACAAAAAGAGAACAAAGGCTTCTTTCACCAATATCTCACCCAAGTATCTCTGATTCCAAATCTAGGTACCTTGCTATTTACATCTACATGTTGACTTCTTTTTTTTTTGTCCGACTTGTTCTAAGTATATCCTAATATATGAGGCATTTTTAAATCTGTATCATACTTAGACTAATCTCCTTTCACATCGGGCCAGCCCAATTAAGGGGCAAGTGTTGGCCATATTAATTTTTTTTTATACAAAATGAGTTTTTGATGAACGTATTCCTAACCTCTTTTAAGGGATAAGAATGCACGACTACTCATGCTAACCAATATGAATATACAGGTTGAGGTTTTACATTGTCATAATTTAGATGTATATATGTGATTATTGTTTGTATGTACCTTAATGTTGTACAGGTAGGCATGGGAGGATATACCCAAGAAATGGGAGGAGGAGCCAATGGAAATGAAGAAAACATACACATGTCTGGTCAGGGATAGATGTCATGAATTAATGTGGTTGTCCTCGAAGCTAAGGCATAATAATGAAACAGTGGCCGATGTTTTAGGGTTATTTATATTTGGAAATTATATATATTTACCTCGTAATTATCCTAGTATAGAATGACGTGTAGCTTGTAGGGACCATATAAATGAAGAATGTTTTCTTATCCTTTCTTAATCACATCTATCGATCATAACATGGTAATGGCTGTAATATAATAGTCTCTTGTAGATATCTCTAGATATAATACTTTGTAAGTTTGGGTTGTGAAACTTGTGATTCAATATTGTATAATTAAATGTATAATGCATTGTAATTGCATGATCTAAATGTTTTTTTTTTTTTTTTTTTTTTTTTTTTTTTTGGATAATATTAGAGTTGTACATTATCCTTAAAATTTTGTACACTACATTTTTATAGATAAATTTGTCATCATTCCGTTAGTTATTAATTTTACTCCAATACTAAATTAATGTTTTAAATTTTATTTAAAAGAGTTGATTTTCTTTCTAATATTAGCATTTTCTTCTCAATATAAATGAAAATATTATGGAAATTAATGTTCATACCATTATTATAGAAATAAATAATATTGCAATTATTAATTTCATTCTAAAATTATTAGCTCATATAGTCATATATCTTAATAATTATTGCAAAATATAAGATTTTCACGAATATTAAATATAATTCTGATGTGCAAAAATAATATTTTAAAATTATTTTGATAAATATTTTTATTTCTTGTTTAATAATTTTTGTTAAATTATGTCTGTTAATCTTCGGTGATCTTGGTAGAATCTGCATTACGCTAGCGAGATAGAATTGAGAATAGAGAAAATAGAAAGAGAATCGCAATTGCAAATACAGAATAATCAGGGAAAATCAAGGGAACTCTTCATTCATTCCATAACTGTACAACCTAATACAATGCATGTATTTCCTATAAATTAGGAAAGTAACAAACCCACTAGCATAATGATCACAATAAATCATACATTTTACAACACTCCCCGACCCCTAGCCATATATTATCTTACTATACTCATGCCTCGTTAAAACCCTTGCTAGGAAAATTCTGTGGGAAAAACCGAGTCAAGGAAAATAGTATATGATGCATGACTAAACATATATTGCACGGGTTGCCCCATCAAAAATCTTAAGCTAAGAAAACCCAGTGGGAAAAACTTAGCTAAGGAAAAGAGTACAACCATAAACTAAACATAAAAATTCTTGGCATAATCTTCTTGACATTACTATACGATGATCATGCCTCGTTAAAAACCTCACTAGAAAAACTCAGTATGAAAAAACTAGTTGAAGAAATGAGTTCATGATATGCGTATTCATGTATTGCGCTAGCTACCTAAAAAAAAAAAAAAAAACCTTTAATTAAGAAAATAATATAAAAAAAAAAAAAAAAACTTAATTAGAGGAAAAAGAGTACAACTGTTGGTCTTCAAGACCCAATCTTCATAATTGATTTAAGTATAATCTTCAGGATTGATTCAAATCTAACCTTCAGGATTGATTCAAATGAATGACACTCCCCCTGAATATAACAATCTTCAAAATCTACACTTTTTAATATAAAGACAACATTGTTCCAAAATAAGTGTATAAAAAGAATGTATGGTACATATTATCAATATTGACTAAGATAATAAACAAATTCATTATTAACTCTTTATTGAGAACATAATGGTACTTATTATTCCTTCAGCATGAGGATAATAACTCCATTTGCAACTCTTTAAAGAGTACATAATGGCATATAATAAATATATATTCCTTCTTCAAGAGGAAAAATACTCAGTCAATTATTAACCGTTTCCGATCATATAAAGAACATTGTAATTTAATACCATACATGCTACGATTTTCATTTTCTCATTTCGGAAATTATAAGTCCATCAGGGGTTTCTCAAAACAAATATTAACTGCATATCTAAATTTATTGTTCTACCAATAATATTATGTAGCGGAACGCAATTTACCGTGAGAGAATATATTTGATTAGAATCAAAGGGTCTCTGCGTGAACCCATAAGCTACAAATTAAACTCGCTTTATGTCATATCACCTCGTTATTCTTATTTCTCCTTTTGTGCACACACCCATTTGTAACATTCAGGATTAACGTTCAATGGTGTACAGTATTGTTATAAGAGGAATATATTCATTTTAGCGAGTTGAGCTATGCCTTAATTGGTCCTTTATACGTTAAATAGTCATGACACTTCCGGTGCCTAACTCTCGATCCAGATTGTTGTATAACAAGCAATTTGTAAAGGTAACTGGGTTGTCGACAACTATAATATTTTATCATAATTTTCTCCCATAAAATTCATGGCAATTTCTAAATCAACCAGATTGTTATCATTTCCCAAACGTATTTAGATCTGGTTGTTGCTCATCCCTAGTATTGTGTTTGTTTAGTGCACCCATAATTTTACTAGGGTTTTTCGCCATCTGAATGAACGTCTACAGGACATAATTATTCAAGGTTTTTCAAGAGTGACAATGTTTCTTTACTAGGTCTAGTATTATGATTCTTATCTCTTTCACCGATAGATCTCCTACACTTCTAGTGTCCAGGAGTATCGATCGATATATTTGGTCCAAGTTGGGAAAGGCATATTGAACCTAGTTACTCTTTTGTGATCAGTATGATCAATAGATATATTTGGCAGATTAATTGTCTCCTAAACTTCCAGTTCAATCTAACTAGTACGCGTATGTAAATAACGAAGATCTTTTTATTTAGTGAAATTTCTCGGCATTCCATTAAATTTGAACTCTTATCTCCCCCTAATGTCGAGAAACGACCTTCATGTATGTAGTCAGCGTACCTAAGCATATGTAATGATCCCTTATCATGGGCTCTTGTTATTTAATCAAGGGGGGTTTCTTTGATAGCCCTTTTAGAGGTACGCTGTGGTGGTGATATATGGAAATAGACTGCATATTATAAATAATAACGCAGATAGGAAAATGTTTATTTTGAAACCACGTACTAGGTGTAAAAAAAAAGGGGGTATAACAATCCTCGAGGGACTGATTTGTGATATGCAGTGAGTCAAATTTGGGTAAAAAAAAATATTAGTATCTAAAATCTGACTCATAGTAAAATTCATAGCAATCCTTCAAGGATTGATAGGATATATAGATCATTTTTGATTAAAAATTCATTATCAAGGTTCAATCTAAAGGGTGACGTAAAAATTAGAGCTCTTAGTCTACTTTGTGGGCAAATATATTCTCAAAATTGAGAGCTATAATTAGTGCTATGAATATGTCTTCTAGACAAAGCTATATTCAATATTTACATTAATGCTCCACTTAAAACATATAGTGTGATATAGATCACAACTACTAGGCTCATATAATCTAATTTTCATCGTAAGAGCATTTTAAGATTTAGCAACAACAAGTGCAACCTAACAGGACTATGTTATTATAATCAAGTTTATTTGCAAGATGTAATATTTAAGGCCGATAACAAATAATTGTTATGGCACATTTTCTGTTATGATATTCACATAGCCACATTGCACAAGAGAGAAAATTGTGATAAAAATAATTGTCATGTGTTAATCAGCACACTGAAGAATGTATGCAAGTTTACCATTGCACATTCCAGTTTATAATTTGACATGGTATAACCACATTATGCAATGTGATTATATTGCCTAACATTAATAATAATAATTCATTGACATAATTATAGTCAATATCATGTATATGCATACCAAATTACATATAAAAAATAATTATATAAACACGTATACCATATGCGCAATAGGAAACCAGAATCTACGCAAACAGGTATACATACACAGTAAAATTTAAGCTTTTTCATGCCAAAAACAGATATCATCATAGCATTTAAATAAATATATTAATAAAATGATTTGAAAATAAAATTAAATATTCATGATACACATGGATGAATAATGTAATAATGACATTAATATTAAAAACGTCATACAAAAATAAAATAGACAAAATATGCATAGCTATCATGACTTAAAACATATTAATGTCCAATATATATGGATCAAAAAACTACTAATGAAATGTTTGTAAAAGGTATGAATAAATAGAAAATTGTCCATCAAACAATCACAGGGTGATCGATCACTCAAGCTCGTACTGCAATATATCATCATCATTATCATTCAATACCGCAGGCAAACTGAGTGTTTGTGCCTTCTGGGCATCTGTTTGGTGATTGAGGACATTATCTTTTTAATATACCATTGGCATAGCATGCACCCACGCCACGTAATGTGCTTTTATGTACTTCAATAATATAAAAGCATTCAAACTTGATTTCAAATTGCAGTATAGGAAATGACTCAGAATCGTCTCAGATCAATCTTTAACATAACATGTTGCATATTAAAATGATCAACAATATTGCACAAGCAAAGCAAAAACCAAACTGACCTCAAAGCTTCCTGCGCTATTGAATTCCTTCACCTGACCTCAACTAGTTATTTGCTTCTTGACACATCACCTAGAGACCCAACGTGGCCATGAATTCTCTCGCACCTTTTACAAGTACGTAGCTGAAGCAATCCCAGGCTAAAAATAATATATTTCCAACAGAGAGGTATGCATTCCACATCCTCTCAAATAACCAATAAATCCAATAGGCTCAACCATAAAGAATATCACAGTCTACTACACCCAAATTAAATAAATACACAAACTACTATCTGAAGCTATGATCGAGGTTTGCATTTTGGGGGTTAGATTCAAGAGACAACATATGAGTTATGGAGATATCAAATAACAACAGTGCAAAGGAAATTCAATCTGACCTTGAATTAAAGGCTACTATTGCCTTCTTCTACCTTGAGGTCTCCAGCGGCTGTAGACGAAGACGCCGATCAGACGCGCAGAAAGAAGATCTGGTCACCGGAAAATCCAGAGAGCTTCGATCGTCAATCTGACCGGTTGGGACGTTCTCGACACGTCCCCAACACCATCTAGGCCCTCCGATCGGCCATGCATGACCGGACCGCCGGAACCTGGTCTCGTTTGGGTCACCCGCCAATTCAAGAGCACAGAGTTCGAGGAACACGCCTATCGCGTCTCTTACCGGAGCACGCTGGAGCGGGGAAGTCGGCCTCACGCGATGCTCTCCGATCGGCGCGACCAGTGGTTGATTTGGTGATCGGAGCACGCTGGAGGTGAAGCCCGTTACTCACTCCTCACCTCAGCCGTTCGCCACGATTGCCCACCAGGAAAAACGATTTTCTCCAACAACAAAACCTTTTTTAACCTGCCAAAAGTTTCATCTCGAGAACCCTGACGGTGGAATTAAATTGAATTAT